AACTTGCTGCTAGACCTTATTGCGCTGGACCCAGGATAATCTCAGGAGTTGTAGAATGACCACAGTCCCAGATCCTGAGCTATAGTTTGTTTGCTAGGAGCGGCAGGTAGCACTGGAGTTCCGGCACTGTGAAGCCGCTGTGCGCCTCTTTATCCTTCCACTCCACTGCGGCAGGGTGATGGCGGCGTTTGGGGGAGTGCCCGAAAGGATTGGTTTTTCTCAGCCCCAATCTCGGGTTGGGGTACAGACAATGTGGTCTGTGGCAGATTCTGCTGGATGCTTCCTGCCTCCTCCGAAGAGGGAGTAGGGATTTTGAGCTGGGCGCGCAGCTGAGATCTGTGCGCGGCAGGAGCTCAATTGTGATGGCGGCAGGTACCCGCCGAGGTCGGAGAGACCTTCCAGGGAAAGACTGGGTGATGGGTGACCAGTCTGGCAACTTTCCTTCCCCGTTGGGTTTTTTGCGACTGGGACTCCCAGCCTCAGGCACCCATGTGCCCACCAATCAGCTTGGGAAACTGAACGGGACAAGCAGGCTTGCAGCACCAGCCCGGAGACCCAAAGCCCGCGTTAGCCGGGTTCTCTTCCGGGTTCTGGCTGGGCAGCCGAGAGTGGACCTGACCGCTTCCCATGCCGTGGGAGCCTCCCCTCACCTGGGAAACACGATCGATCGCTGTTCTTTTAGGGCCCAGAGTTCAGTCTCCTGGTCACTGCTCGGAGTGTGTTGTCCTGCTTCTCAGACACGGTGTTCTCCTGGTGCCGCCATCTTGGCTCCCCCCAAGTATAGTAATCTTATGTCACATGTAAATACTATGGCAGATACAGAAGATGTAAAAATAATTTAGATTTGGAACATAATGGCTAATAGTTTTGATATGATCCAAGACGTTTTTCTTTTTTTTTTTTCTTAATTAATACAAGTTTATTATCTCATAGCACTATAGATCTAACACAGAATAATCCAACAGAGATTTCATCAGCTTCAATCCAAGAGACCTGAATTAATGTCTTTAGGCTGTAGGTTAAAACTTGCTCTGTGCCTTTTTCCTGCAGGGGATTTAGCTCAGTGGTAGAGCACTTGCCTAGCAAGCACAAGGCCCTGGGTTCAGTCCTCAGCTCTGGGGGAAAAAAAAAAGACAAAATAACAACAGCAAAAAAGACAAAATGACGTTTTTCTTAGTGGCTTTTGCTAGCTATTCCTCTCTTTGGGAGACTGCTGTCCTGCCCACTATGCAGACCCATCTATATCACAAACTAGGAATGAACCTTTCTAGCTATAAGGGACCTTATAATATTTAATAAATTGTTTGTGGCCCCAGGGGGAAAAAAGAAAATCAAGTGCTGTCAACCTGGATCAGAGTTTGGGGAGTCTAATACGAGGCAGTTCATTGTCAGCATATTTAAAACAGTAGAATTTAGGAAAAGGTTTCGAGGCAACAATCAGTTCAGTCAGTTCAATTCCATGTGCACAGTAAAGCTTAAGATACAACTCTTTTGCACAGTGCATATGACCATGAGGGTAGGATCTATAGCTAAAAGGCCTAGAATCTAGTGTGGTTTCTTACCAATGACATAGAGATCATTAGGCCATAAAGTGACAGCTACTTTATGGTTGGGTAATGGTCTAGGAAAAGAAGAGTCTGGAATAGTCATTCTGGGGGATTTGGATGATTTCTGTCCTTTCAGAGAGCAAAAAGATCACCAGGTTGTTAGCAACCTCCGTTCTCAGCTTTCTGGGTAGAATGCAGGCATGTGATTTTATCTCCTCCATAGTGAGATACCCCTGCAATATTAACATTCGTGGTTCTCTGTGTACTCAAGGACCTCTGTACCCCCAACAGAAAACCATACATTTTGATTATAATACAGCAGCAATGGAAATCAGACTGTCCTTTCTTAGGTTCTAAATGTTTTTGTTTTGTTTTTAATGTTCATAACACTTGTGTTGTTGGTTATTTATAGTTTTTAGTGTTTCTGTGCATTTAACTTAGTGGGGCTTATGGTATAATAGTGTCTTAAATGTTTGGAGGCATAAAAATGAGGGGCGAAGTGACTTTTTAAATTAGCTTTATTCATTTTATTCTGTGTGAGTGTTTTGCCTTCATGTATATCTGTGTGTCTACAAAGATCTAGAGGGTACTTGGATACCCTGGAACTGGAATTACAATTGGTTGTGACTCAGCATATAGATGCCGAGACTCAAATCTGGCTCCTCTGCAAGAGCAACAGGTGCTTTTAGCAGATGAACCAACTCTCTAGTCCTTGAAAAAAAGATGTTTTAAAAATTGCTGTTATGTTGTCACCCATGTGGTGCTTAGCTAAGCCATTCACTACTGTGACTCAGCCTGATACTGTTTATGCTAAGCCTGAAGGTCAGGCAGATAAGAATAGGGTCTTCCCAGGTGTTTTCCTGAGTATATACTCTGACCTGAAGATGTAGGTGGCTGTCTAGATGTCTGATAGGCAAACGTTTTTCAAACAGTTTAGACATCAGAGTATTTCACTCCTGTTTTTCCCTTCCTGTTTTTCAATGTCTCCTGTTTGCCCTTTGCCCTACATTTCTGCACTTTATTCGGAAGCATTTAGTTACTTTTCCATCTCTTGAGAGTTCTCAGATAGGGCAAAGAAAGACAAACACATCTTATATCCATTTTCACAAAGCTGGCAACACATGTATAAACAAGCACTTCGAAACAAGGTATGTGCTCCTGCTCTGCTTTCTCTAAAACAGGCACCTTCCAGGTGAAAAGGATACTTGTTTAAAATCAGCTGCCAGGCTAGAGTTGGGTTCGACCAGAGGTAAATTAAAATACCAGAAAGGTCCACTGATAGATTTCAGCCTTCCATGGCTATAAACTTTTGACTCTTTCCAAATTCTGACTAAATTGGTAAGAACAGTGCTTGCAAGGCAGTTTTCTTTTTTATTTACTTGCTCATTATTGTTGTTTCTAGGGAAGAAGTTTATCAGTTCCCTTCCTTACCATTTTTGTTGCTATCACTACAAAATAAGATTTTTTTTCTCCAACCTAGGTTCTCTATCTCTAGCTGGTTTAGTAAGTTCCTTAGCTCAGTAAACTGCAGCTGCTTGCCCACATTTGGTGTGTGTTTTCTTTTTCTAAGGTACAAAGAATTATGACATCACCAGGCCCCATAATTCCTTAAAAGTTTAAGAAAAATATACTATGTCAGGGACTCTCCTATTATTTATTTAGTGTGTGTTTGTAGGGTTCAAAGGGCAGCTTATTGGAGTCAGTTCTCTGTCTCCATCATGTGGAACTCCAATTGTCAGGCTTGGAGGCAAGTGCCTCTACCTGCTAAGTCATCTCACTTCCTTTGAAGTCTTCTATCTTAGACATAATTAACTAAAACATATACATAATTATACTAGTTACTTTTGTATTGCCATGATAAAATACCATGACCAAAGTATCTTACAGAAAAGAAAGACTTTGATTGGGCTTACAGTTCCCGGGTTTAGGATTCATCATGGTAGAGAAAAGGCATGGCTGCTGGAGCAGCAGCTGAAAGCTCACTTTCCTTGCACAAGCAGGAGGCAGGCAGTGAACTGGGGATGGTAGAAGGCTTTTGAAACCTCAAGCCCACCTTCTGTGGTACACCTGCTCCACCAGGGCCACACCTCCTAATCCTTCCCAAAAAGCCACCAGTTGTAGGGAACCTGAGTATGGTTCCTGTGAGGGCCAGTCTCATTCAAACTACCAGAATAACTGAAGCATTATGTTCCGTATCTGGGGAAATTGTTAATAACTTCTTAGGGAGCCGAGAAAAGAGAGACATTCTTGTTTCAGATACTCAGTTTTGCATCTGTCAATATTCATTGCAAAGCAGCTTTTTTAAAAAAAACACATCATAAGACCTGTTAAAAACAACTTCTTTTGCCAACAACTGACCTTCACTTAGTCTAACACTATATTCCCTGCTTTTTCGTTTTGTATAAAGTAGTATTTTCATGGTTTTTAACAAACGTAATCTTGTACTTTTTCTGACATCTGTTATCTTCACCCTGTTATGATTTAAGCATTTAGATCTTAGATTCAGACTTGAGAATATAACTATTTTTACTTAAAATATAATGGATTTTAAGATCCCCGTTCCTGTTTTTATCACTTTAAATATCTTATAAAGTATATCAGAGAGAATTTAGTTACTACAAGAAAGTAGTTGAAGTGGAAATTGAATATAAAATGACAGTTCTTTTTCTTTTTTTGGCAGGTTATTAACAAATTCAAACAGACTTACAACCACCAGAAATGCTGTATGGGCCCTCTCAAATTTATGTAGAGGCAAAAACCCTCCTCCAAATTTTAGTAAGGTATGAGAAAAATATACAAGTTAAGAAATCTGTTTCAATAAAATAAGTTTCTTTATGATAGTTTTTTTTTTGAAGTTTGAAGAGACTCTTATATTTTGTTATTTTCTCTAGTAAATAGATGATATTTAGACATTCAACAAATTAAATGAAGATTATAGATTTCTATTTTTTCATTGCCATCTAATTCTGGCCAGAAGTTCCCACTGTAACCGGATATTTATATGTCTTGGAGTTGAATTAGAATTGTTCCTTGTAGTCTAGTTCTTTTCATGTATAGGAAATAGAAGTCAACTCCTCCCTATATAATTAAGATCCACTGTTAGGTTACGAAAATGGAAAATTGTACAGAGACTTTAGAATAAGTCATCTAAGAGTCTCACTGGCAGGTACTTTATGAAAGACATTCAACAATGTAACTAAAAGAGGCCTGCATGGAAATATTTTAGGGCAGCTTTTCAAAATTAAAAAAGAAAAAAAAAACCCAGAGATGGACATTGGAAGTAGGAAAAAACAAGAAACAGGACAGGAGCCTACCATAGAGGGCCTCTACCTATCAGAGTATCAAAGCAGATGCTGAGACTCATAACCAAACCTTGGGCAGAATGCAGGGAATCATATGAAAGAAGGGGGAGTTAGTATGACCTGGAGAGGACAGGAGCTCCACAAGGACCAAATATATCTGGGCACAGGGATCTTTTCTGAGACTGTTTCTCCAACCAAGGACCATATATGGATATAACCTAGAACCTCCGCTCGGATGTAGCCCGTGGTAGCTCAGTATCCAAGTGGGTTCCCTAGATAGGGGAACAGGGACTGTCTCTGACATGAACTCAATGGCTGGCTCTTTGACCTCTTCCCTCCAAACCCCTGAGGGAGGAGCAGCCTTGCTAGGCCACAGAGGAGGACACTGCAGCCAGTCCTGAAGAGACCTGATAAGCTAGGGTCAGATGGAAGGGGAGGAGGATATCCCTTATCAGTGGACTTAAGAGAGAGGGGCAGAGAGGAGATGAGGGAGGGAGGGTGGGATTGGGAGGGAATGAGGGAGGAGGCTGCAGCTGGGATACAAAATAAATACACTGTAATTAATGTAAAAAAATAAAAATTTAATTAAAAAACAATTAGTAAATAAATCTTTAAAGTGAAAAATAAATAAATAAAAATAACCCAGAAACTGCACATGTTCCATAGTTGGTATATGGATGAATTAATTATGACTTATTCATTTGCTGAAATTCAACTCAGCAATAAGAAGGAACAAACTACTGATACATGCTTTAATCTCAAAAGCATTAAGCTAAATTAAAGGAAATGTTTCATCTTACATGACTCCATTTACATGTTTTATAAAAGAAAAAAAATCATAGTTGGGAATGTCTGAAGTGAGAAAATTGGTCACCAAGGGACAAAAGTAAAACTTTCAGAATGGTGGAAGTATTTTATAATTTGATTAGATATTGGCTATTCAACTATATACATTTTTATAGTACAAAGAAGAAATAGATATGTTGAATTATACATATAGTTAAAGCAAGTATAATTTTCTTATATATACAACCTCAATAAACTTGTATTTTAAGGCATTTAAAATATTTAATTCTTGATTAGATCACGGATGAGGATACTTTTACGTAAAAAATAATTGAATGTGATTGATACCTTAGATAATACTTTGTCAATGTTAAGTTGTGTGGTGTGCCAGGCATCTGGGGGTTTATCTTTAAACTTAGAATTTGGGAGGCAGTCTATAAATTGCACGTCAGCCATGACTACTTAATGAGACCCCTTCTTAAAAATAACAACAACAGATTGCGTGTGTGATAAATATATTGTAGAAAAATGTGGAATGCACCTTTTTTCTTAGGACATATACACTAAAGAATTTAGAGGTGAAGTATCGTGGTGTTTTTTGTTGTTTTGTTTTGTTTTGCTTTGTTTTGTTTTTGTAATCTGCTGACTCTCCAGCTGAGGAAAGACAGACATACATATATAAACATATCCAATTAGAGACATATATGTGAATGTGGAGAGAGAGCAGATATGCACAGTGTTAACTGGTGAATATGGAAGCAGCATGTTGGCATTGGTCCTGCTTTTAGTGTAAAGCTTCTGTAAGTTTGAAGTTTTTCAAAGTAATGAGATGAGGAAGTATATCACCTTTCTTGTACTATAGAATGACGTACCTTTTATCATCTGGCTTATTGCGATAGCTTCCTAGCACATCATCCTTCAGTTTAGTTTCTTTTTCTTCATCTGTTATTGTTTTTGTTGTTGTTCCCAAGAAAGCAGCAAGAATGATCTACAACTTTGAGACTGCACCTCTGTTTTTAGTGACTCCCCCATGTTTTATTCCAAGAACCAGATAATTTTGTTAAATACCCAGTAAGAATTGTCATACATGAGCCTACTATGGTCTCTCTGACTCATATCCTACTTGCCATCTCACTTTATGTGCTGACTTCACTATATTATTTATTGCCCCTCACATTCACACAGCATGCTTTGCTTTAGTGGTTCTGTCTGCCTAAAACAACTATTAGATGATTCTTAATATTTTTGGCCTTGGGACTTTTTTCTGCTCTTAAACATGAAGAGCTGTATTAGTGGCATTTATATTGCTGTAACCGTGAACAAGACAACTTATAAAATAAAGCATTTACTTGGGCTCATGGTTTCATAGAGTTAGAGTCCATGATGTTAGAGCAAAGTAGGCAAGCTGTGTTGACTAGAGCAGTAGCTGAGAGCTCACATCTTTATCCACAAGCAGGAAGTAACACATACTGGGAATGCTGAGAGTTTTGAAACCTCAAAGTCTGCCCCAAATGGCATACCTTCTCAAGCAAGGCCATACCCCATAGTCCTTTCTAAAACTGTTTCAGTTCCACCAACTGGGGACCAGGCATTCAAATATAGGAGCCTAAGGGAGCCATTCTCATTCAAGCTAGCACAGGATCCAAATCTTTTTTTTTTTTTTAATATGATTTACATGTAAAAATATTAGACTAAAAATGTAAATTATGAAAAGTTTGAACATTTACTAATTAATTTATAAAAATAAAAGCAGGCCAATTATGTGTCCAGTAACGCTTACTACAAAAAGCACCTTGCAAAAGAAGAGAGACTTTTTTGAGTATTATTAGTATTGACTTAGGTTCTTGAGCTGAAGGTGTGTGTTGAACTTAGGATCTTTTGTGCTAGACAGCCTAGCCTTCTCTTGCTGTTGTTTTGTGACAGGGTCTACTATGTAACTCAGACTAGCCTGGCACTCACTATGTAAACCAGGTTGGCTTGAATCACACAGAGAGAAATCCATCTGCCTTTGCCTCACTGTGCTGGGAATAATGGTATATACCTAGTGCCCAGCTAGCTCTTTGTGTTTTGAATAGGATCTTACTGTGCAGCTCAAGCTGCTTCGGACTTATTTGAAGTCTTTTTGCTTAAGCCTCTAAAGTGCTGGGCTTGCAGGTGGTACCATTGTGTCTCACAGAGTTTTACAAATCTCATTTCTCTCTATGTACTAATTTGTTGTGTTGTTGTCTTAGATGAAAAGTATAATGTCTTTTGATAGTCATGAATGGTTATTCTTTGATACTGTGTCAAAACTTGAGTGGTATGCTTATTTAAGACAAGGTCTCAGTGTGTAACCTTTGCTGGAAGGAAGTTAAACTAGGCTGCGCTGGAATTCAGTAGCAGCACCTGCTGTTTTAACACAGGTCTTTAGACCTGTGTCACCAGAGCCAATCTGAGTGGTGGTTTCTTAAGAGTTCTTCTCATTGAGGCCTTTAAAATTCTACCATTGAACTTTCTCTTCTCTGTTACATTAGAATCCAGCAATCTTAACTTGAACTTGAAAGAGTCTGTTTCTCTACTTGGAAAACAGGGTCCCCTAAGTTATTACTGGAACATTATATACGCACGTCAGTATTAGGAAGATGTCAGACTCAACAGTGGAAGATGCAAGTTTTTGAAGTTCTAGCTTTTGAAATTTCTAAATTATTATTGGCAAGAAATGCAGATGTTAAGAATCTAGATGTTAAGACTCCATATGTTAAGACTGAATGAAGATTAATTCATTTAAGTAAAAATGGAGTTCAATGGGGAAAAGTGGCTGGCTAATCCAGTATGTGACTCACTCAATGCTTATTCAGACCACCCAAGTACTTTTGTGAGTAGAAGTACTACATAGATATTTTCTATTTCATCTGATAAATTATTCATATAAGGCATGTAAATTATTCATATAAGGCATGAGTGCAAGGGTGAGTTTAATGAAGTTTGTATTTTTCACTGCTAGTTCACAGTGATTCTTAAATGGGCTCTTCCAAATGTTCCCTTTTGCTGGAGGTGAAGAATATAATGATTTGTGGTACATTTTGCTATCTCTGACTTGAATTGTGTCCGAGTGCCAACAGTTTTACCTACCATCTATTTTTATCCATTAGTGCAAGTGTCACCAAAATAAAAAAATACAAATTACATTTCACTATTATTATAATAACAGTTGTGAGATCACGCACCCACTAAGAATGTTTTAGGACTCTCCTCTCCTAGCGTCCTACTGACCTACTGTGCTCACTGTTCTGCCGTATGAGCTTCTTGCCTCTTACAGTGGATACTTGGCTGGTTTTCTTCCATAAAATATTTTTTGATTTGTTTATGTCTGTCTATGGAGGCCAGAAGACAAAGTCAGAAGTTGCAAAACAGTTGTGAGCCACCTGGAGTGGGTACTGGGGTAACTCCATTCCTTGCAAGAGCAGTGCCCGTTGTTAATGACTCATCTCTCATCTCTGTCGCAGAGATCGCTTGTCACCTTTGCTTAGGAAGTGCAGACTTTGACTAATGTATTAATATTGTAATCTGTCGATATAACAGTCTTGAGTTCTTATCATCCTATTATTTTACTCTCCTTTTTTCCTTTGACATAATGTGTTTTATATTGATTCAAAGTCTTTTCCTACTAAAATGTAAACTCCATATTGTGTTTATTTTTTATAGGAAATGTT